AGGTCCCGAATTTATGCTTTTGCATCAATCTAGTTTACTACAATCTGTTTTATTTATTTATTCATTTATTAATTTATTTGTTTGCTTATTTGCCAACAGAGCTATCTCCACTTACAGGCGAAGTCAGGCTTAAAATCAGTAAATGAAAAAAAAACAGCGTAACATAAAATAAAATACTGAGTAGGGGAAAATGGGGTAATTTGGCCGGTGGTGTAAATTGACCGCCCCCAACTGTACGATATCTGATAAAAGTGAATGAAATAACTCTAGTCCCTATTCACTCGTCATGGGTAGAACTAACTTGAGGACAAATGTCAAAATTTTCCCCTCGTAACCCGCGACCGGGTGGACCTCTCAGCCAACTTCGCCATGGTGGGGAGCTTTTTTGGCCACATCAGATTACCTCAGAAAGAAAGCAAGCTAGAAAGACACAGTAAAAGCAATAGATAGCTCGCTGCAAGCTCTTTCAGAATCATTTAGGTCATTTTTTGATCAGGTTATCGCTGAGGTCACTGGAGGTCACCAAAAATAAAATTTTCACGATTGTTGTACCCGATTTTGACAACTTCTCACAAATCGGCGCAAAGTCGGAAACCAATAGAGCTACAGCGCTTCGGGAAGAACGCATTCGATAGCTCTTTCAAAAGCCTTTCTGAAAAATGTCTTGGATTTGACCTAAGGTCAACGGTTTTGCCTCCAGAGAGCAAAAACTATCAAGATCGGACGTTTTCCGGAAAAGTTGTCGTGTCATAACTTTTAACTCCAAGCTTGCATGACGCTTATTTTACCGGCATCACGTTTTTCTCGTCGAGACGCGTCGAATGAACTATAAAACTTGACCTGAAAAGGTCAGCTTGAAAATTTGACCTCAGGGCAAATCACTGTAAAGGTCATGTTGCATGTCATTCGACTCCTATTGCTGAACTGAACACATTTATGGTGTTTTCAGCGCTCTAGCATGCTTCTTTCTAAAGCTATTGTCAAAAAGCTGTTAGTAACGTTTCATGATCTGAGATGACCTCACGGGCATAATTGAAGTAGTCACAGGTACAATTTTCCGGTTCAGTGTGTGATGCTTACCTATGTCACGATGTTTGAGGTTGTTTTCGGCCAAACAAAGAGCACTTCAATTTTCCCCCATTGACTTATTATGGAGAGATCGCAAAATTTAGCTGGTCACCGATATGAAACTTCCGAGATATACGAATTGTTCATACTGATTTCCTCATACTGATGATCTAATATCCATTACGAGTCTCATAACTTGAATATCTCGGAAATTCCTAAAGGTCATATGAGGTCAGGCCATTTTCGTGACTTCACCATTATGTCAATGGGGATAAATGAAAACTGCTATTCTGGCGCCGGGAACGATCTCCAACTATCTCAAGCACACAGAATCGTGCTTTGATGCACTCCTTGCAAGGAAACATGCGTCAGTTTTGCAATGTTGACCTTGTGTGACGTCATTTATGACGTCATTAGGGTCATATTAGTTTTTCGTCAATAGCTCCCAATCAATTTGAGCTAGTGAGTAGGGAAAGCAACCAATGGACTCAGGTAGACCTGCCAAATCGAATGATATGCGACATAACCTACTTCGACCAATGTCGTAACCTGGGGGCGCTGACCTGACCGTGACCTGAGGTCAACACCTTAAGTTGACCTGACCCAAACAAAAAGTATATCATTCGACGCGCCTGAGCGAGGCTAACACGATGCTGCCAAAATCGCGGCTCTGCGGCCGTTTTTTGCTAAGCTATTCACCAAAAACGGAACCGTACCTTGGGGCACTTGACGGTTACTCATCAATATATTATTCATTCTGAGGGATTACATATTTTTGTTAGTCCATGACAACTGCCAATGGCAATCCGCGCGTCTGAATCTTTTGTCATTTTTCTTCTGAGCGTCGACATATTTAACGATATCTTTATCAGCGTGTTGGAGTGGGTCATCAACGGCCATGTAATAAAATGAATACTGCGTGGGAAGGGGTAAAACATATTGACCTCTGTGACGCCACTGTAGCTCTCGGGCGAACAGTACAGTATGACCACAGAGAAAGTCACTCAAACCCCCTGCCAGACCAACACCATCCATATAATATTCAGGTCAGCGGCGAACTGAAATTGACCGGGTACATCGTTGATGTCCTCGATAACATGCAACTCGGCATCAATCTGCCTCAGTGGCCAGGGCAGCCACCAGGTCCGGGGTCTCGGCGTCCTCAGCTCCCCTGACGCAGGCTAAAACAGTGGATGAGCGTTTGGCTAGAAGGGGGCGGATAAGCTCAACTGTCAAGTTAACCCGCGCCGTGCTGATGGTCATAGTTTTCCGTGTCGTGCTGAAGGGGAGGGGGCGTTTTCACACGTTTAACTCGGCTCCTGGGCCACGTGGTGCCAGGCGGTAAGTGGCATTCAAAACAGCGTCTAAAATAATGAAGAAAATAGTCATTCGTTTTTTAAACCAGGTGAAAGGTCAGGTCGCCAAAGGTCAAATTTTGCCTATGGCAACATTTTTTCTTCAAAAAGCGGCGCACAACTCGGAACCAATAGAGCTACCCAGCTGATAACTCAAGAACCAATACACGCAGCAAAACTCACGAGGAGGCAAACGAAAGAACGCGACGAGACACTTCCGATGAGTACCTGAAAGTTGAATTTCAAGGTCACAGCTCGGGTCAAGGTCAGGTCAAACACATGAAATTGGGCTTTCAGTAGCATGAGTCCAAAACAACTCTGGTGACCTGACCTTTGACCTGACCGGAAAAGTGACCTAAGTAATTTCGTCATTATTCCTTACGAAATTTCGAATGTCGCTTTCCCCGTATCGCTGCATGGCCCAGGAGCCGCGTTAAAAGGGGGTGTTCAAACACCCCCGCTCCAGGACCCCCAGCGGGGTGCGGGTTATGAAATGCATGCATCATGGTTTTATTTATTATTATTATCATGGTCGTGAAGTAGTCACAAGAAATTGCCAAGGTTCCGTTCAAGATTTTGGAAACCGTAGAATGATAGGTAATCAAAAATCGAAGATGGCAATTTGATTGTTCATGGTAGGTATTGGCAGTCCAATGACGTTTACGGCCTGTCTGTTTGTGTCTATTCTGTGATTTTTTACCTATGATTTTTTTTTAACATGTGTCGCTTTTTTTGTCGAAAACTCAAATCATGACGTCACTAAAACCTCGATATCTCAACAAAATTTGGATTGATTTTTTGGAATTTGTCACAATAAACTTCTATCAATTCCCTACATGTATCTACCTACACTAAATTTGGCAAAAAAAAAACAACGTCCCTAATTGCTAAAATTCTGCACCAGCAATATTCCAAGTGTTCGTGCTTACAAACGGGCCAATTGTCCATATGTACAATTGTCTATATGTCTATATGGCTGCTCTCGGGTCATACGCAGCGCCTCGCCGACTGAGCGTAGCCAGGCGACAAGACAGCCCGTCACTGCAAGAACTGCGCTGCCTCCCCCCCCCCCCTCCCTCCTCCCGACCCCGTCCCCCGACCGGCGCGGCGCGGCATTCCTCGGGCCACAATAGTGACTCCCCTCCCTCAGCTGACCCGCGTCCTCAGGTGCGGTGTAGGTACACTGGACAAATACTTCTGCCGGGGCTGACGGGGTTCATGTTTGAACAAGGGATTAAGGGAAGTCTTCAAACATCTCAGACGGAGTTTTCGCCGAAACTACCAGCTAGCGCCATCCACCGGTGAACGGCGGTACTAAACTTCATTCGCTAGTTCCCGAAACGACACACCATGAGCTGTGAGTTTGTGAACGAGTGCCCCCCATCAACGATGTTTGTTTACTTCTGTGACGTGCAATGACGAAAAGCCACTGATTGCAGTGGACTCGTTGTGAATAAATAAGTTTCAAGTTTCAAGTTTCTAGTGCGCAATAGGCGAAAACGTCAAGTAGACCTTTCGAGGTCACCGAGGTCACCTGAGATCGCTATCTTCTAAGAGGTTGATAAAACTTCGTGCGTCGAATCCTAGACAGGTGGTGTTTTCCCTGGGTGTTTTCGTCTCGATCGGCCCAGTAGGTAGTTGCTGAGTTATAGAGTGCCTGCAATAAGCGCATAGGCGGCGGAACGGGGAGGGGGAACTGGGGCACCGCTGACCGCGCCCCCCTTTGATTTTGGCATTTAGCCCTATGGGCATTGCATGGAAAGAATGGGACCAAAAGTCGCAGTGCCCCCTTTAATTGAAGGTGTTCCGCCGCTAGGTACTGAATAGGCGAAAACGCGTCAAGTTGACCTTTGGAGGTCACTGAGGTCTCTTGAGGACTGAGGTCACCTTCTTCAAAACCGCTATTGAAATCGCATACGGTAAATCGACTGGTGGTATTTTCGTCTTGATCGGCCCAATAGTTCCTGAGTTATCGAATGGCTGCATTAGGCGAAAACGGTTATGTGATGTCCAAAGGTCGAAGGTCACCTGAGGTCACCATATATTCGTAACGGCTCATGAAATCGCATAGGTACCTACGGTGAATCGACTGGTAGGTACCTAGTGTTCGTCTCGATCAGCCCAGTAGTTCCTGAGTTATAGAATGACTGCAATACGTCAAGCTGACCTTCCGAGGTCACCGGGGTCACCTGAGGCAACCATCTTTGGAACGGTAGAATAAATCACATCCTACCGTGAATCGACTGGTGGTTTGTATCGACCGTCACAATAGTTCTCGAGTTATAGAATGGCTGCATTAGGCGAGTACGAAAAGTGGACCTTTGGAGGTCACCAAGGTCACCTGAGGTGACCAGATTTAAAACCGCTGATAAAATCGTATGCTTTGATTCGAATAGTGCTTTGTTCGTTTCGATTGGTTTAGTGGTTCCTGAGTAATAGAATGGATGCAAGGGCAGTGGTCGAGTTATGTTGTTCTTTTTGTCTGCGTTTTAAGCATTGTTGTGGTTCCTGGCCTTTGGAGGGAGTTTCAAATATGGCGCATCATAAACAATTATGGTTTGGTGCATAGTGGTGCATGTGCAGTTATGACAGTTCCCTGGCCACTGGCCGCGTTTTTTGCTTAAATTGTTTGAATTTGGCTTGAATAAGCTATTTTTTGTTCAGATTGTTGCAAAGTAATACAAATATTATTCGACTGCCTTAAGCTTTGAAAACTGGGCCACCGTTTTCCGCGTTCAAGTTTGACCACCCTTCGGGGGGTGCCGGGATCAAATATTTTATAACCCATGCATTTAAGCTGCTAACCAATTTATTTATATACGGCATGTCAATGTGTCAATAAACATTGAGAACCAAAGGTCAGGTGCCTACCAAGGCTAGGCGGACATGCCCACTGATGGCAGATGACCAAACTCAAAAACTTAGATACCAATAGATTAGTGGTCGGCAGGTCGACTTTGTGTGTGGAGTTATGGAAAATATCACTAAATGTCTCCAATTTACAATTGACACAACATTCTTGCATTTCTTCAGAGTTGACAGTGCCTGTAAAGCCATAGAAAAGCCTGTAAAGGTACTTAGAAAAGCCTGTAAGATTTATCTGGATCCATGATCCCAAATCATTAATCCAAAATGGATTTTTTTAGAACCTTCAACATTGATGACATTGTTGCCATTCATGGTAACTGTCATTCCATATCCATGCTCCCAAAACATGGATCAAAGATGGATCTCATCACTCATGCCAGACTGGAAAACATCCATGCCTACACTACGCCGGATGCCCGTGAGACCCTCTTGCGCCTAAATTTGGCACAAGCGATTTTGCACTGAAATTTCTGCATGAGTTGCGCCGAAAATTGTGTGCCCATATATGCCAAAATTAAGGCACTTTTACATAAAACACATGTGCACAATTACCGATCAAGGCTCTGCCAACGAGATAGACAGTGGCGCGGGAACCGGGGGGCTAGCGGGGGCTGAGCCCCCCCAGCTTTTCGGCTGGGGGGGCTCGTAATGTATTTGAGCCCCCCCAGCTGGAGGAATCGAAATCGGAAATCTACCAACATAATTTCATAGACTCATACGTAGGCGCGGGAACTGGGGGGAGGGGGCAGTGGGGGAAGCTTGCCCCCACAACTCTGCGGCCGTGGGGGCGGTGCCCCACAATGTTTCATGAGGCCAGGAACTGTTGGGCAGCTTGTCCTCCCCAAATTAGGGGTTGTGGGTCGCAAAGGAAGAAAGCATGGAAGTGAAAAATCCACCTATTTCACTGGCTCGGCAACTCCTTTGGCAGATTAAAACCTTTACCTACTCCAGGTTGCCAAAACGGTAGTTTCTTCACTCAGCTGAGACGGAATACCTCACTTTTTGAAAATATTTTCGTGTTTTTTTTTTGTTGTTGTTGAAAAGGCCAAGGTCTGAAAAATAAGTGGCCTAAAACCGGTGAGAAAACTACATTTGGGGGTACCCTAGGTTGATTTCTATTATGGTTCAGCCCCCCCCCAGTCTGGAAGAAGTTCCCGCGCCACTGGAGATAGAGCATTCCGGGGCCTTGGAGACTCTCCAATGTTTGAGCGTCCTAGTAAGTTTTTTTGCATCCATGAAAACCCAATACTTTAATACATACGTTTAGCGCACTGAAGCGTTGTTTGTGTCTGAAACAAGGCCGGAGCCGGAAGCTCCCGAGTCAGAAATATGGGCGGAGTGTATATACGGTTCTCCCGGTCCTCCCGTGACCCTCTATTGCCAGATGCCAGCTGAGTGTATATAGATATGCTGGTCAAAAAACGTTCGAGTTCACTGGCTGCGAATTCGCTACCACTGAGTTAGGAGTCAGATGCCAGATGCCTTATCCACTAAGCCATGCACAGGACCAAGATGTGACATTTCCTGTGGCTGGCAAGGCCAAACTCAACGTTTGGCCTTATAATTATGCTAACATTTTCTTGATCACTTGACTATTAACCTAATGGCTGGTGACTTATTTTACCAATTTTACCTATAAGGATAACGACAGCATTTCGTGCTGGAAATCGCTGTGTATCACGCGACTGGCTCTCACAAGTGAAACTAACAACGGTTACTGGTGATTATTGACAGGCTAGCCGTTCAGTATGCCTCATAAAAGACCGAACGTGGAGCCTGGATCACCGGAGAGGAACGGCCAGGATATCGTCAAGAAAAAGAGGATTGACGAGTCACTTTTTGCTGAAGTTTTGTCCGAGTCGGGGTTTATTTTGAACCTGAACAACGAACCGTACACATTGGGTGAGTGTGCTCCGATTTCTGCGGGCATTATGTACGTAATCGAAACTTTGATAACATGTGTTGATATCGTGCACTCATAATTCATTAGATACCTATGCAATGCATGTTGACTAAGTGCATTGCTAACCGTGCTAATCCTCGTTTTTATGGGGGTGGGGGGTGGGGGTCGAACGGACCCCCCCCCTAGGTTTTTCGCGAATAACTCTTGGAAAAAGCGGCCAATCGCGATGAAACTTTCAGTACCCTCGAGTTATTCAATTTAACATCTTCCCTGAAAATTTCATGACCCTGACTCAAATGACCTTTGACCTGTGACCTATTTCTCGAGACCGTGTTTGGCCGGAAGCGCGATTCGGCGTACGAGTATGTCGGCTTACATTATCCGCGCGTTTGCAGTCTTTGTGTGGCTTTAAACGCTCAACATGTGAAATGATGTTGGTCCCATGCATTCTGGTGGCTGTCAAGGTCACGTGAAGGTCAGGCCAGGCCATTGACCTTTGATGACCTTGTTTCACTTTTTCAAGTTTTACTTGTTTCGATGCTAGTTTTTTATAGCTGATTTCTAATTAGCAACCATTTAAACCAGGGTTTCGGAGTCGGAATCGGAGTCGGAGTCGGAGTCGGAGTCGCCCGGAGTCGTGGCAAGCAGCCAGGAATCGGAGTCGGTCAGAGTCGGTCCAGCTGCCTCGACTCCGACTCCGGAAAGTTAACTGAAGTCAATCCGTGCTATCACTTTTCAGATGTTCTTAACCAGTGGCCCAGCGGCAAAATTCGCTTCCGGTGATTACAAATAAGGTATTTTTTCACACATCTTGTTTTGTTCTGAAAAGCTAACATTGCATCTTACAAATTTCAAGTTTTGCCATAATTTAGTAGGCAAGCATTTTATATTCGCGTTATAACTTCTACTATCCAGTGTCAAAGACTTAATGACAACTTGAACTGTATATTTACTTTCTTCTTTTATCGCTCCGAAAAGTGCCTAACACAAACACAGACCGACATGATGGCGATGCCCGTGGCAGGGTTGTGCTTGACTCATGAGTCGAGTCAGAAATTTGACTCAACTCTGACTCAAATGAGTCAGATATGAGTCGAGTCGGATAAAATGTTGAGCTGTTGAGTTGAGTCAGAGTTGAGTCGGACAAAAATATTAAGGTGTTAAGTTGAGTCAGAGTTGAGTCAGTAAAATAACTTTTGACATTGAGTTGAGTCAAAAACATTAAGGAACATGGGTCAGCTGACTAAACTTTCTAGAAGCAATATATAGTATAAGTTTTTCATTCTCCCCCCGCTTAACAACTTAGGCCTGGCCCTGCTGCCGGATTTTTTCACCCCCCCGCTCAACAACTTTTTTATCTGAGTCAATTTTGAGTCAATACACTTGACTCAACAAAAAATTTGAGTCAAGTTTGAGTCAACTCATATTTTCATTGAGCCGCTTGAGTCATGAGTCGAGTCAAGGGAAAAAATCAGCTCCTTGTTTGAGTCAGAGTTGAGTCAGGGCATTCTGAAGTTGAATGATGAGTCGAGTCGGCAATTTTTTTTGCACAACCCGAGCACAACCCTGGCCCGTGGTCATTATACGGCCACACTCGTCACTCATGCTTCTCGGCGGGTTTTCAAGCTGGCCACCGGCGGCTGGTCTCTAAGGATTCAGCTGCGTCCACGTGGGAGAATGGTGACCGCATGAACGAAAGACTGAAGTCACTGAAGTCACTGAAGTCACTGAAGACTCGCATCATGACAGCATGGGAGGACAGGAAATGTCCTGCATCGTCAAAACCCGCAAGCGTTTCCGCCCTTGCGTCGAGGCCGTCGTCGGCACAGACGGTGGTTGCAATGAATGGGTACTTAGCAGAAGCATGTGGCTTGGCGTTCCTGGTCATTGTTTTGTTCTATTGTTGAGTATCTAATGGACCAAAGGCATTCATTTTAAAAATGTTAAAAAGCGCCAGGACTTTCCGGACACCCTGTAGACTTAATATGGCGCGTCATATCACGCGGAATTTTGGCAGCCACCATTGCCCTTTTTATCAGACCCGGAGTCGGAGTCGGAGTCGGAGTCGGAGCCGGAAGAGCACTACCACGACTCTGAAACCCTGATTTAAACATTTATGAAGTAGGTTTGGTGCATTTGTAACATGTTACGAAGCTGTCAGTGGTGGTTAACACCTACTATGAATACCCGGCAGGACGCCTACTGGTTGACCTGACCTAACCTGACCCGACCTGGCCCAGATGCATGAAGGGATCATCTGTGATCAAAACTAACATGAAATTCGTGATCAGCACCCCGAAATATCCCCTTATAACCAGACATGTGCATGGATCCGAGTGATGGATCTATGATCTAAGTGGATCTCGAAGCCAAATACAAGTTGGGATCTATGATCCCACCGGATCCGGCGTGAAAAATACATCTTGGATCTATGATCTCATATGATCTGACGATAAATTAAGAACATGGATCTATGATCTGAGTGGATCCCACTATGCAGCACATTTGAAACCATGTTTTAAAGGGTTTCTGTGCCAATAAGTGACACAAAACTATAGATTATGACGTGCGATCACATAAAATCACTTAAACAGAACGTTTGTGAGTTGAAACAAGTGCTTTTTTGGGATATATGTGCTGACAAAAGATAATTGAGGATCTATGATCTCACTGGATCTCAAGCAAAAAATGAGACTCGGATCTGTGATCTCTACGGATCTCTCGATAAATTACGGAGCTGGATCTATGATCCCGTCGGATCCGAGATCAGGATCCGTGGGATCAGATCCCAGATCCATTTTCTCGGATCCATGCACATGTCTGCTTATAACCTCACTTTACGAAGTTGTGACAGGTCCCGATTTTCCCGACTTTTTGGTTATTGACTGATGACCTTATAAGGTACCTATCGTCGGCTTCCTCTCGTTACGGGCAACACGCTCGTTTTTTTCCGCGAAGCTCTAGCTTGATCAAGGGCCGAGTGGCAAAGGGGGGGGGGGGGATTCCCCCATTATATGTTCGCGGCTGGCAAAATACCAAGACGGGCGGGGATTAAGATAACCCGAGAAACACGTACAGTACACCTTTTTGCGCTGTTCGATGACCAATCAGCTGATCAATCATCGATTAGGTGGCGCCAGTGAGAGGCATTCCGGCAAAACTTTCAGGCTGCACGTGGGCAGAATGGATCGCTGATCCAACTCCACAGTTCTTCAGTTGGTATCACCTTCGCTCTTCGCAAAAGGTTAGATGCGTTAGATGCGTTTCCTTGCGTGACGTCATTTATGACGTCATTTGGGTCATAATAGTTTTTCGTCAATAACTCCTGATCAAATTGAGCTAGCGAGTCGGGAAGGCCACCAATGGACTCAAGAAGACCTGCCGAATCGAATGATATGCAACATGACCTCTTTCGACCAACGTCGTGACCTGGGGGCGCTGACCTGACCGTGCCCTGAGGTCAACACACTAAGTTGACCTGACCCAAACAAAAAGTATATCATTCGACGCGCCTGAGCGAGGCGAACACGATGCTGCCAAAATCGCGGCCCTGAGACAGTTTTTTTGCGAAGCTATTCACCAAAAACTGAACCATACCTTGGGGCACTTGACCTGACCTAAGAGGTCACCGGTTGACCTAGGACCTTAAAATCGGGTACCAATCTCTGCGTCTCGTAACGGCGCACACGCTCGTTTTTTCCGCGACGCGCTAGTCCACCAGGGGCGAAACGGCGAGGGGGGGGGGGGTCGTACCCGCCCCCCCTCGGCCGGCGCGTATGTAGAAAACCAATAGGTCCGGCGATGGTTAAATAAACAGTCATCGTTTACACACAGTACCAATTTTTTTACATCGAGTAATCATTTTGTAAAATGACGAAACATTATCATAATCTGATAAAGCGTTTCGCCTGTGACGAACGTTGTGCTCAATGACACAGAGTTATGCAGAATGGTTAAACCTTCCCACCTTCGAAAAAAGTTAATGAATGGTGTTGGAATGGATGGAGTGGTGTTGCATGTTTCACATTGAGCAAAAATGAATATCTGCCTGCTACCGAATTTCATTGAAAAATATAAACCGGTTTTTGAGATATTAGACAATTACTTTTGCTTATTTTTCGGAGCCTTGGTTGTTTCTACGACGTCATTTGAAAGCAATAATTTAGCGTCTTAAAAGTGCGGCAGATGTTGTGCGCAAACAGCATATAAAACCACTGCTTCCCAAAGATGTTGGTATAATATTTTAAAATCGCTAGATCTGCGGTGACGTCACAAATTCAGAGGGAGCATTCAAATGCATTAGCCCCTCTGAACCCAAAGTGCTGCAACTTTGAAATTAAATATCTCCGAATTAAAGCGTTTCTCGATGTTGTGAGTGCCCAAACCGGTAAGTGCGAGCCAGGCCCCCAATTTGGCTATCTCAACTCAAAACTAATGATACCTAAGGTGGGATGGTCACTTTAACCCTCGCCGGACCTATTGCTTTTCTACATACGCGCCGGCCGAGGGGGGGGGGGGGGCGGGTACGACCCCCTCGCCGTTTCGCCCCTGGTGGAGCTAGCGCGTCGCGGAAAAAAACCCGATTTTAAGGTCCTAGGTCAACCGGTGACCTCTGAGGTCAGGTCAAGTGCCCCAGGGTACGGTTCAGTTTTTGGTGAATAACTTCGCAAAAAACGGCCGCAGAGCCGCGATTTTGGCAGCATCGTGTTCGCCTCGCTCAGGCGCGTCGAATGATATACTTTTTGTTCGGGTCAGGTCAACTTAGGGCGTTGACCTCAGGCCAAGGTCAGGTCAGCACCCCCAGGTCATGAAGTTGGTCGAAAGAGGTCATGTCGCATATCATTCGATTCGGCAGGTCTTCCTGAGTCCATTGGTGGCTTTCTCGACTCGCTAGTTTAATTTGATCGGGAGTTATTGACGAAAAACTAATATGACATTGATGACGTCATAAATGACGTCACGCAAGGTCAACATTGCAAAAGTGACGCATCTAACCTTG